AGAGCGATTAAATGAAGGTTGTACTTTAGTTCATTATGCTGACGACTGTATTGTTTTTTCCTCTTCTATAATTTCTGAGGATGCTTTGAGTCGATTGCAAAAATCACTCAATAATCTAACGGAATTTTTTGCAGAGAACCAATTGAATCTGAATATATGTAAATCGGAATTTATAACATTTTGTCAAAAAAATGATAGCAAAAATGTAGATACTGATACAATAGTAATTAATGGGCATTATGTAGCCAAAAAATCCGAATGCAAATATTTAGGCCTTATTCTTGATTCAAGTTTATCTTTTCATGCTCAAATCAAAACAATTCTCCAAAAATGGCACAAGGAATTAAAACTATAGATACAATTGGACAACAACTGCCGACATTATCATTAGTTGCCTTGCTTCATTGTCTTGTTTTATCACATTTAGATTATTCAGAAATATTTTTACAACAAATTAATGCTATTTTGATGCTATCTCTAGAGAAACAGTTGAACTGGGCGTTAAAAAGAACATATTTCAGATCGAAATTTAAATCTTCTTCCCTTCTTCGCATTAGCAAATCGTTAATTGGAATCGAGAAAAGAATTGAGTTAAAGTGTATAACATGCCTATACCAATTTCTTACAAACAAAAAGAAGACTTTTCAAAATACATTGAGACTACCGACTGCCAATTATAGGCTCAATAAAAGAACGAAACAAATTATTTTCGACAAACACTGTTCAACCGCTTCTCTACAAAAATCATTTTTTCATTTGACTTCTAAAAAATGGAATTCACTGCCCATAATTTTGCGCAATTTAGAAAAACAGAGAACAGGATTCAAGAAAAAATTGAAAGAATTTTACGTGAGTGAATTGAGAAACAATCCAATATGTACAAATACAAAAACGTGGCGTGATTTCCGTTTTCGCTAGTTCTAAATGTTTTAATTCAGTTTAATTTTCCAGACATTGTTTGAAAAAGAATCTGTATATACTCGGTATATACGCTGTATGTTTGGACTATAAAAAAGTGTTTGTAAAGTTTTGATACCAGCTCGTTCTTAATTCTTAAAACTGATATTTTTTTAGTATCCGTAACTTCATATATTTCTTCATATATTTTAATCAACCAATTTCTGAACTGTAACCGAACTTGTTTTGTTTTGTTTTGTTTTGTTTATTGCTTGTTTTCTGATGTTGTGTTTTTGTTTGATGTAACCAATGAATTTTAACCAACTTTATTATTTACACTTTGCTATACTGATGCCTCGGCTTTTTACTGTATAGTAATTCAGGTGTTCTTTCTTCTTCTTCTTCTTCTTCTTCTTTATCTCTATGAAACTTTTGTTTCGTGGTAAAACTTTGTGTTCAGATGAACCAAAGTGTGACAAGAGATCTCTTTTTTAGCAGTAATAACTAACAAGACTTCTCGTATCAGGGCGAAGCCTTGAATGTTCCGACTGCCTTTTAAGGATTTTGGAGCAGTAATAATTTTAAAAATTAAATGAAATAAAGCAAAATGAAATTCTTTTTTTTCTAAAATTTGACATTTTTTTAAAAAAAAGTCATCCCCCCATACGCCATATAAAATACAAAAGTGATAAAAATTGCTCTTAGTAACAGATCATTTATGGAGAATAAGTTTATTTCAACCAATTTGGAACGATTTCTAGAACGGATTAAATCTCCGCTTACGCGTTAAAAGCGCGAAATATATCGCGCGTTAATTGTCACAAATTGGCTAAAATGCCAATCTTTAAACCCCCGTAACTTTACAAAAAATATATCACAGGTAACATATCTTTACAAATTTCAAATCAAGGCAACAAAAGCTTTCGATTCATGTAAAAAAAAATCCGAAAGTCGGAACAATTAGACAAGGTTTTTCCGCAAATGCAGTTCATCTGTGACAATTTTGTTACTTCAGAGTTGATTTTCTTAGATAAGAAAAACTTGGTAGTTGTTTCGACTTTCGATACGAAATTAACGGAATGTTTGTACTCGGGGTGGGTTTTTTCTTCTTCAGACAAGTTCACAACGAGGTCAAACTGTGCCTTCTCTGCATTGTATGCGGAAGAATATGCTGTTTTGGAATATGCTGTTTTGAATATGCTCTTCTATGCTGTTTTGGATTTCACAAACAAACACCTAAATCATTGAATCGTTCAAAATTGCTAGAAAAATAGGCGAATGTGCGGAATCCGCAACTGTATTTGCGGAATCCAGAACAACTTGTGGAATCCACAAACAAATGATAAAACATTTTTATCATTAAATTGAGCTGTTGCGGAATCCGCAACTGTATGTGGAAGCCGCAAATTGAAAGTGAAATCCGCAAATTGTAGGTAGAATCCGCATTTTGTTTGCGGATTCCCTTTACATATATTTATACGTGTAGTGGCCTTTAAAATTAGATCTTTTAAATACATGATTTGATTTCATTAGAATAAAAATTTACTAGAATCGAAATTTACTAGAATAGATCAGTGTTTGGGATTAGTGGAACCCCAAATACTGACCAGTATTTGGGATCAATGAAATCCCAAATACTGAACTAATTTGACGATTTGCTATGCGTCGGGTTTCTAATCACTCTTAACCTAATGACTCCAAATAATGGATATATTCAATATTTAATCCACATTGTTCCAGTTTTTAGGATTCCATCAATCACAAATATTGACCAGTATTTGGGATCGATGGAATCCCAAATACTGAACTAATTCGACAATTTGCTATGCGATACTTTGCTTCCAAAATCAGTATTTAGAATCGACGCAATACCAAATACTGACCTAATTTGTCGATATGCTGTGTTCCGTACACTCTCTTTTCAATGACTCCAAATATTGCTAGTGATAAGAATTCCAGCACAGCTTTTAATTGTTCATATGCAAGTTCAGTATTGAACAAAAATCGGAATCCACTTACAGTTTGCGGAATCCACTTACATTTGCGGATTCCGCTATCATTTTGCGGAATCCACTTACAGTTGTGGAATCCAGAACAACTAGCTATACTTGCTTGTTGCGAATCCGCCACAAAACAAATGTGCCGACAAAATTTACGTTTCAGGTATATGTATGCGAAATCCACCGAAATTGTTTTTGTCCACTTATTTTTTGGAACATATTTTAAGACTTGTCTCTGGAATCCAGAAACATGCAGACACAAAATTGTGCTCCTATCCAGTGCACAGTTTGGCCTCGTAATGTTTCGACTTTTTAACTAGCTATTCGTGACGGAATGTTTTGCTATCATTCAAAAGGTGTTGTTGTCCTAAGCCTAAATTTGAAACGATATTTCATCTGTGATCATTTTTCGTAAAGTTATGGGGGTTTAAAGATTGCCATTTTGGCCAATTTGGGACAATTAACGCGCGATATATTTCGCGCTATTAACGCGTAAGCGGAGATTTAATCCGTCTTAGAACTCGTTCCAAATTAGTTGAAACAAGCTTATTTGCCTTAATTAATTTGTGACAAGGAGCGAAATCTATTCTTTTGTAGTTTATATGGCGCGTGGGTGGATGATTTTCATAGAAAAAATTTGGAATTAAAAAAAAACTCATTTTTATTACAATTAGTTTGTTGATGATATTTATGTTATTACTGCTTCATAAACCTTAAAAGGCAGTCGGAACATTCAGGGCTTCGCCCTGATACGAGCAGTCTTGTTGTGTTTGCGGACAAAACGCAAGCAAAAAAGACAAATAATATTTTCACATTCTGTTCATAGGAAAACAGCAGTATTTCAGTTTGCTGCATGGCAAATTTCTACCAAAGGGAGGTCAATGATTTTCTGTATGTATGGAGCTAATTGGAATTGCAGCAGAAGGCATTTTTTGTAAACTGCATGATTGGAGTTATAGGTTAACCGAAGTTGTGTGCACTTTTTTTTTCAAAATTGCGTCCAAAATGCTTGATTTCTTTGCGCATTATCTTCATCCATTGCGCAGAATATTGAATGCCTTGCGCACTGCGTGTAGTATTACCTATAAATTGATGCAATGAGCTGACAATTTTTTCAAAGTTGTGTATAGATAATACACAAATAGCGATCAGCCACGACCCAAACTGTTACGGCTAAAATTGAGTATTGATCGCCCAAAAATCAGAGCTATACGGGAATAAACTCGACAAGACTGCTCATATATCAGAACAAAGCCCTGAATGTTCCGACGTTCCTTCATTTATATCGAATAGTTTTTGGGAAAGGAGAATATTGAAAACCCAGGCATTTTAAGTAATATCAATGTGTAAAATTTTTAGTCGTACGAATTTATTACGACCAATTAGCTAGCCTCAGTTCAATTTGGAACGATTTTGTTGTAATAATAATTTGCGTTACGCTCTCAGCGTTATGAATAAACTCATCAAACCGCGCATAATTTAGTCCAGAACATGGCAAATTTGGAAATTTTCAAACCCCCAGAACTTTACAAAAAAAATCGGAGGTAAAATATCTTTTTATATTTGAACTCAGGAAGTCGATAACTTCAATGGGGTATAAAAAGTTTTTGTTGGATACTATTATTTTGATTGGTGAAAAATGACTGCAGAAAATTAAGAAACTGAGGTTGCAACTTCTAAAATACTTTTTTTTCTCAGGTTCTCTTCTCTGTTCGTAGATTGCACGGCTTATCAAATCTGCTTATTAGATCTGCTTTTTTTCCCGAAAACTGTTTGTCATACAGTTTTCATAAATGACAAATTTTTAGTCATACAATTTCCATTTATGACAAACTTTTAGTCATACAATTTCCATATATGGAAAAATGGTTATCATAGAGTTTTCATACCATTTTCTGTACGTATGGCATTGTATGGAATTGTATGACAAGAAGTTTTTCATAAATGAAAACTTTATGATTAGAAGTTTTGGTCAACCCGGGTGAATAAAAAAACCATACCGAGCATAAATATTCCGTTTCTTCGAAAGTCGGAACAAAAATAAACTGATGTATGGTCTCAAAGTAAATGGATTCATATAAAAAAGTTACAAAAATACTTCAATATAAATTGATTTGAAATTACAAAAGTCACGAAATTTAATCATTATTTGAAATTACATCAGTAAAATTATGAACAATTGGATAAAAGAGATAAAATTAGCTTTGAATTAGTTGCAGATTTTTAAATGATGATCGAAGGCACGGCAATCAATGCAACTTCTCACTCGGGAGTTGGCTTGTCGTGTCGGATTCGGATGTGATTCGGCAGCCAATCAGACAGCGACGCGAGACTTGATGATGTAAGAACGTGTTGCAACTTTAGATTTAACATCTGCTGCTGTTATAGTAGTCGTACCCGTCTGATATTCGGAAGTAGTCTAAAGCGGTCTGGTAGATGAATTCGTATTGGTCCTAAAATCATTGGAAGTTATTAACAAGGATTGACGTCCATGATTAAACAACATTAACTCAGAACTCATAGATCAAATTAAGTATTGCAAAAAACTGTCAAAATTGTCAAAGGGAGCATCTAAAAGCCTTACATAATTTGTGCAAGATTTTAAGCGAACCTCAGCCAGTTTTTGACTTTTGGATATTTTAACGCAATATTTTTCTACAAAAATAGAAAATTTTTGATTTAAAATTTTTTTTGAATTCGCTCATTTTTTTGCGGTGGAAAATGACCTGAATTCGAAGAGTCCTCAATAGAGCACGTTTATTAATTCGAAATGAACGAAGTGTTTTTTTTTCAGTGTTTTTTATTGTAGTGTTTTTTTTAAGTTATTGACGCTCAAATTTAAAGTTTTACAGCGTGAATATTGACTTAGCGTGATGTGCACTTTTTCTCCGAAACTCGAAAGTTGAAAATTGATTTTTCATTTCCTAGAGCTCATTGACACTTTTGCAACTGTATGTTGGCTATACTAAGAAAACCTAGATCTTGTTAATTATTAATTCATTTATTTGATAAAAACTTTTAACTAGTCATTTTTTGTCAAAGGGAGGTGGTAATTCGTTACAGGGTTCAAACCTCACAAGCCTAATGATTGAATTAGTCCTTCATATGGGAAGAAATTCATTAGTAGGTACCATAGGGGAGGGGGTACCATTGGGTTCGCAACATCCGAAAATGCTTTGTTCACCTCGGTTTGGACCATGGCAGGTCTTTGTGTTCGTAATAGCTTCACTGTTTGAAACACGTCAACAATCGCTTCGTTTTCCATTCGATCAAGCACCATCTTCAGGGCGATATACACTCCACTCCTCGCTGACCCTGAACTGCAGTGCACAACGACGGGACTGATCGGCAAGCCGAGGCTTGATTTAGCCTCCTCTACGTAGCGGATGAATTCGACGAATGCTTGGTTCTGTTTTGGGACACCTGAGCAAAAACTCTAATTACAAGACGACAGGTGACTTTGGCTTAAATTTGAAAAAATTAAACAGTTTTTGCTTGATATAGCTCGGAAATAAAGCACCAGTGTTCAGATTATTCCAATCAAAATTAAATTTTAAGCTGTGAGAAGAAAATTTCAATTATATCACGAATGGTTGTCGGGTTTTTCATTATAACTATAATTCTATTCCTTTTAAATGACATTTCACGAGCACAGGATGCTTATGTTTACCTTGTTCGGGCCAGTCGAAGTGAAACTGCCGAATTCGTCTCGTGAGTCCCTCGCGGGCGTCGCAGAGTCTGAATTCCCGAATTACGAACTGAGCCATGGCGTACTCCTGGACGGGCTCAACGAGTAAGTAGTTATGCCTTTCGGCGTTGTTCGGTTTGGGCCAGTACTGGAAGCACTTTTCCCGTCCGAGCTCTTTCAGTTTGGTCAGCATGACAATGACGCCGACATTCTGCTCCCACACCATACGCCAGAAGTCAAACACTGTCGTCTCGAGGGGTCCTTGTGTCGCAATGTAAGCACCTTTCTGGTAATAGCTCTGCAACAAAAAATGAGCAGGATTTTGAAAAAGTTTGTAGAAATCATTTGTTAAAACAAATCGGGTTTCTTCAACAACCCCCCTCCATTTCCCTCAATTTTAGTGTCACAGAGTGATATTTAAAGAGAACCGGTAAATCAGTCAGACAAAAACGAGCGTGATATAGTTTTCTTCAACCAAGATATTTCGAATAATTATTTCTTTTTGGAAACATTTTTTTTACTTTCAAATTATAGTTTATATAAGAGATGTCTGAGTTTTTTTTTGGGTCGTCTTACGTCGATGTAGCTGGCGTTGATGTAGTCTGACCCCGCTTGACCTCTGAGGGGTTCCAATTTCACCCGCGTCGAATCAACTGAAACCAAAAGCAAATTCAATACGCCTTTCTCATTTTGATTTGTGCGTATATTTTGCGGTTTCAAAATTTCAGGTTTTATATCAATTTCTGAATGGACATTTCAATGAAGAGTTTCCAATTATGTTTAATACAGAATAAATGAAACTTACATGGTTTGATGTTGGCCAGTCTGTTTTTGGCCATGTTCTCGGGGAGCATGGCGGCCGAGAACTTGGCCGGGCTGTGAGTGACGTGGGAGAGTCGCTCGAACTCCGCCTCCAGCCCCGTCCGGTTGTCCCCCAGCACGCTCCCACTGCTCCTCAGTTGAGCCACTCTCTCTTCCATCTCGTACTTCTGGAACTCCGTCAGACCTACAGAGAAGATTTTACAGGGTGAGTTTTTTTTAAAAAAAACTTATATAATTTGAAAAGGTTAATTTCATTATCTTCAATAAAGTTCCGAGACTCTAATTCAATAGGTAAAACTGAACAAGTTACATAACTGGGGGTGTTATATGTTTAAGCGTATCCGTATGCGAATGGCCTTTTTACTTGTTTGTATGGCCTCGTGTATGGTTATTTCTCAGAATATCTTCTACAGTCTACAAAGAAATCAAATTCAAATTGGCTAGATACAAAAGCTTTTGTACAATTTTCTACCACGATGGAGCACTGCATGTATGGCTACTGCACCTGTTTGTATGGCTTCCAGTATGGCATCGTATATGAATATGTACTGGTCCTCTGTCTGCACCATGTACTGTCTCTGGGCCCTGAGACAGGTCACGTGACCATAGATGTCCACCTGGTCTTCATTCTGCATCTTCTCCATCTGTGCGTCAATCACAATGAAACAACCAGTGCGACCAACTCCTACACACAAACACAAACACACAATTGCTCATATTATTCAGCTGATGAATTAAGTTTTTTTTTCAGCTATTCAAAAAATACAAAATACCATAGAATTGAATATCTTTTGAACGTGGGTTTTGCTTTTTTAAATCCAAATATTCAAAGCGGAAAAAACTATGGTACTCAAAATTTTCGAAAACAGATATGATTGTCTTTGGCTCTGAAAATCTACACGAGTACTACTCAGCTATTTTTCGAAAATGCAAATTATTTTTTGAACACTATAAAATAACTCCTTTTGATCGAAGTCGAAAAGGTAGCTGATTGAGGTCGTTGAAAAGGTTCAGAGGCTTCAAAGATTTTGTGATTTTAAGCTAAAAGCGGGGTTATTTTTGTCTAGCTCTTTAGGTCAGCACTTTTTAAAGCTCTGGGTAAACCTCGACTGTAATACGACACCTCGCAACAAAAGAGAATTTGCGACAATGATAGCTAATTACTGTGCAAGTAGCACAGATTATTCCAACCAGATTTTTGAAAAAATACAAAGCTAGTGATTTTTCTCCATTTCTTGTATGTAGCGTGATGTGAAAACTACACAAACGGGTAGAAAGTTTGTCAGTTAGGCTTAATTGACAACAGCTGTCAAAAAATATATAATCAAAAAATGCTAAAAATTTATCTTTTTTTTTGCACAAATGTTTTAAAACTTTTTAAAGAAAACGTTCATAGCCAAGGAAGCACTGAATGAAGCTTTCAAAATTAGTTTTCGTTTAGTTGACTCAAGTTTTCGTAGCTTAAATGACCAATTTTTAAATAGGGAACGTTACTCAGTCTCCTTACTCACCTGAAATTGAACTAAAACTCAAAAATATCAAAACGGTTTTTCTCGACAGCGGAACAACTTGTTGAAGTTTTTAAAATGCCAATTGAATACCGACAATGAGAACTCTATATGGCATATCACTCTGACTGTTGCGACAGTCATACATGATACCACCTATTGCCTGGAAAACAAAAAATTAGCCAACAGACAGTTGGAAAAGTGTCATGAACGAGAAAGTGTCAACTGTTTGGAAAAAACTTACTTGTTTGTTTTTTTTTCTGAAAAAAAAACAAGTTCAATTTTCGAGTTTCAAAGAAAAAATTTATCACTTACAGCTATTCGAATTTCAAGCACAATTTTTGATTGACCATTTTTTGACAAAACTAACCCAATTTGGGAAAACTGGATCAGTAGGTAAATTTTATATTCCGCTGGGAAATCTTAAACTTTACTGTTTCTTTCAGTAGATGACGGTTTTCGCGACCTTTTGACTTTTGCTTTTCGATGATGCAATTTGTCTTCCTTTGAACAAAAAAATGAACTGAACTTAAAAAGAAGCCAAAAATGTCGGAATAAAAACTAAAATAGCACCCGAATACAAAGTTCTTAAGTTCTTGCCCGTTTTTTATGCCCGTTTTTTATGTTCGGGACAGTAATAGAAATTGTGGCGAGTTATCGCGGTGCGAGCATCGGCATGGTATTGTTTTACATTATCACTAACCCGCACTGCAGTGTACTACGAGTGGTCCGGCATGGTCAGTGGGGTTGGAGAGTTTGATCTTCTTCACGAATGCGATCACTGGAGTGGCGTACTCTGGCACTCCGTGGTCGGGCCAGTCTGTGAACTGGAACTGCCTCACCTCCCTACTGCCCCCACTCTCCTGAATCTGGAACAAAACGGGGCTGTAATATGACAAAACAAACACATAAGAAAAAAATCGACCTTCCTATACTATCTCTGACCATGAGAAATCTGACCATATGGCATAAAAACCACTTAAAAGAATTTTATGCGATCTCCGTTGCTAATCTAATCACATAACTACGAGTTTCAGAACAAATGACATTATAGGATAGGACGTATGACTGACGTGTCGTATTTTCAAAGTTCGGATGGTGTAGGAAGCATACACTTCCACTTGGGACTGGAACACCTCAATCAGTCCATATGTCTCGTATTCGTTCACTTTCTCCGGCCAGTAGCGATCACACTTAGTCTGAACAAAAACAAAGATTCGCACATTCAAAGGGTATTCCAATAAGACTGGACAATACGATACGTTAGTTTAGAAGGGATGGGGGGGGAGTGAAAAAACTAGAAAGAGAAATTGATTGTTAGCATCATCATACTTTGTAGAACATCTAGAAGGTGACTGAGGTATCTGTGGCGCAATAACATTTTTATGTATATGTAAACTAATATACACTAATATAGCCGCGTTTTTATGGCAAAAGTTTTATGGTTAAATTTTGTATACGCCTTATTTTTATCTTAGTTTTTCAATAACAAAAATTTCTAATAAAAAGGAATTCCTAGCCGCGTACTTAACGTGAATTAGAATCTAGAAGCTTTCATTTTGACGCGTGAACATTTTAGTTTATTTTCAGTTTTCATCTACCTCACTGAACATACCATCTAAAACACACAAGCGCACAAATACAAATAAACTGAACGAGTATAGCACTTTTCAAGATCCTATATTTTTACAGTTTTTTACGGCTTTCCACTAATTTAAACGTTGGAAGGCTGAAAAAGAGCTTTTCAGTCTGATTGAATTTTTTACCCTGGATTTTTCCTCCAACTTTGTCATCATCACAATTGTATACGAATTCTGCTCCCAAACCATCCTCCAAAAGTCACCCAGAGTCTCTTCCAGGGGTCCCTGGGTACTTATATAGGCCCTCTCTCTCCTGTAGCCGTCCATGAAGTTGGCGTTGATGTAGTCCGATCCAGGCACCCCCTCGATGCTTCTCAGGTGGACCCTGGAGTGGTCATATGCAATCACATTGGCATACCTGTTCTTAGATTTGTTCACGTCCATGTTGGAGTGTTCCCAAGTGAACTGTTGCACTGGCTCGATTGACTGAAACACATTCAATCAGTAAAGAATCGTGACATGCCTTATTTTTTCTTACTTTTATATTAAAGTTATATGTTAACAATCAAAGACTCCCAACTCCTCAAAAAGAAAGACAAAAAAGAGTAGCTAACCAATTTGTTTCCAGCATTAACAGCTACGCACACAAAAGCATTATTCAATATCGTTGGACCCGTCCGCTCAATTTATGAAGTTGTCCTTTTTATTGTTCTCAACCGTTTTTTAAACAAGTAGGGGATTGGATGAAGGTTAATTCATAGAATGAAGTGAAAGAAGTAGTAGTATAAAAGAAGAAACTGAAGTAGAGATTGTTAGTTACTTTGAACTCCTGATAGAAACGGAGACAGTTGTTAGATTTAAGGCACTCGATGTGATCCTCCAGTCGGGTGGCCGAAATGGGTGGCCGAGACACGATATCTAAACATCATCAGGCACTCCCAAATCTACACGCCTGGATCACTCACATCGAACATCGAGAATTCATGATTAGGAAGAAAGAATATCAAATTGATGATTGATTTAAGTTTCTCACATTAGTTTAAAGCGCAGTATTTTATCGGTTAATTATTTCTTCAATGGTTCCAAAAGATTAAGAATAAAATTAGTAAAGTAAAATTAGTGCATGAAAAAAACAGATGGCAACAGCTTTGCGAGTTAGTTTTTGAAGAAAAAGAGGATGTTTTTCGTTAATCTCTTTTCACCTCGAACTCAACAGTAAAGAGATAGTTGTCTTTGGCTTTCAATCGATCGACTGTTTCGCCGACTTCAGCACAAATCAGAGGCTGGTGATCTTCCAATCCTGTAAATATGTCATTTTTTCAATTTTCAAAAAACAAGATCCAAAAATGAGTCTTTATATTATACTAAGAAGGCTTAATTAATCATTATAAAAACATAGAAAACGGACCTAATGTAACGACAAGTATACGATCGCGTTGAGTCGCAAATAATTGTCGGTTTTGAATCTAAATGAAGTAGTATCCGCTAGAACTATCGTTGAAGCAAGTCCAACAGTCCTTTTATAGTTTTTGGGCTGTAATATTTTTTGTTCAATTTTGTCTTCTTTACACGTATATTCCATACCATTTGTGGGGAAGTTGAGACGCCGGCGTTCGACCGGGTCGTCCGTTTGCACTGTTTTATAGTTGGATGTGTACGTGGGGGGATATGAGCCTCCTCCGAGCAGCATGCCACTTCCATTCCCGTTGCCCAGGTACTGGAATGAGCCGGGACTGTGAGGTGTGGGGGAGTGTTGTGAGTTGGCGTAGGAGACGTGGCTGTGGTGTTTGTTGCCGTTCATCACTAGGATCTCATTGTATTTCGATGTGGAGCCATTGAATGATCCTTCCGGGAGATTAGCATGCGAATGGTTCTTCCTGAAAGTCGACAAAAACGAAAATGGTTGTGAAAAAACGAGACGTTGTATGAAATGCTAAGGAAAATAACATTGGCTAGAAAAACTTCTGCTTCGACAAATAAAACATCTGAATAAAAACTTGTAAAGCTGAATAGGTCAGAAGAAACTTCGACCAATAAAATTCTTCAAAAATTTGGTCTTCAAAGGAGTTTGGTCTTCAAAAATTGGTCCCTCTTTTTTCTGAAAAAAGGACATTATTGGACTGGTAAAAACCAGTTTTGGTTAAAATCCTTTTTAAAAATTTTTCGTTTCATAACAATAAGGCTATAAACTCATTTTAATTGTTTCTCCGTACAGTTAAAGCTTTGAAAACATTTGACCCCAACTGACCTTTTGATGAGATAGATGGCAATGAGGAAGATGACGATGACCACAATGACAGTAGCGACTACACACACAATCCACAGTAGATTGACGAAGGGGTCTTTCTCCCCAATCCCTCCCCCACTCATTGAGGCCCCCATCACATCCTGCACTGTGAATGCAGGGTCCATGTAGTCACTACTGCGGTACTGGATAACCTAGAACACAAGTCGCAACTTGGCATAGTCTGTTAAGGTCAATCTAAAACAGTTTGCGTCATTATTTCGACCAGATACGAGGAATACTTAGTTCTTTCATATATTGCAGAGACGGAGAAACTTGATCATCATTAACCACAAAGAGGAAACAAAATTGAAATACGGAAAAAATTTAAAATCGAATTGCTTTTTTTAGTTAAATGTTAAATTTTGTAAATCTTAAATTCAAAAAAATCTCCCAAAAAAATATGCATGGTAAGCGTGCAAAAAATGTGCATTTCTTATATACTTAATAAAACCTTGATAGTTTTGATGAATTTTTTCGGAGTTTTTGATCTTCGGGTTGCAATTACTATTAAATTCGATTTATTGTACTTGATGAGAAAACCATAATGTAATAAATGTTGAATTAAGTCATACTGTACTATTCAAATATCAAATATTAACTGCATTTTCAATTTCAGATTGTTCCAGACAACCCAGAGGTTGATCATGAGTGACAGGCAGGTTTTCAGACCTGGTCGAAGACTTGACTTAACTTTAACTAAAATAATTATTTGCCCCTATGTCGTAGGGTCGCCCACATCAAATTTTAACCAAAAAGTGAAAACTATCAACTGAAATTAAATCATTTTAGCATTTTAGCATATGGACTTCTACTTCTACATTGCTTGTAATAACGCAAAGTAATTTTAAAGAATACTGATCAAAATTTTGCGTAAGTGTCGATTGCTTAGGCTTTTCTGTGTAGCCTTTTCCTGTGTTTTTCTTTTTGACTCAGCTAATCTGCTTCTTTTACTTTTCTGCCAAGTTCTACTTTTCTCATTCTTTTTGAAGGTTTCAGGTCCTCATTCCTCCCTCCCTGTTTTTGATAGTACTTTTCAGTCAGTTTCGGATCAGTTTCGGATCCTTTCTGTTGGCTCACTTGGGTTTCTTGAGTCGCTTCTCCTTTGGATCCGCTTCCGTCGAATGGTTTCTTTGCGTTCGCATATTTTCGGCCGTTTGTTCCACTTGCCACTCGTCCGCCATAATTTTCGTCTCGTCGCCGATCGATGCCTTTAATCTCCTTTCTTTTCAGTTTCTTTCGCTCTTTACCAATTTTCCCGTTTTTTCTTTTATTCAATTTTCGACCCCGGTTTTCTGCTTTTTCAGGCAAACTCTTGTTTTTTTTACGGTCCATTGCACTGCTACCAAACACGCTCTGCATATTCTGGTGGTGCTCTTGATCTTCTTGCGCCAAGCCGACCAAATCATGTCACCGCCACTGGTTAGCAAAATCAAAAACCAGAAAAAATTAGAATGGGTCGACTAATATATCGTTTTAAAGCTCACTTAAGTGCGATTCGAACAATTTTTTTCAAAGGAGGGTCGAGAAAAACAGGTTGGAAGCCGGAGCGGATTTATAGGGAGTTTCCTCCCCCTAGGGACTAGGGGTTCAACCCCCTCACCAACCAAAGATTCACCAATTGGTTTTACTGTATGCAGGGGCGGATCTAGGATTTTCTCGAGGGGGGGGTCGGATTTTCAAAAAATTTTCGAAAATTTTGACGACCTTTTTTTTTTTAGGTCGATCAGATTGATTTTCCGAGCTCTCCCAAAGCAGTAAAAAGACCCTGTTTTGGCCAAATTTTCTGCGCCGCAGGCAGTTTTTTGAAAAAACAGGTCAAAAAAGCCGTTTTTGGGCACTTTTTGGAAAATTTTGACAAAAAAAACGCGTTTTTTTGGCGCGCGCTCCCCCTCAAAACTATTGGCGCCGAAGGCGCCTTTAGAAAAATTTTAGGGTCGGTCGGCCAAAAATGGATTTCTCAAAAAGTACCAAAGGGGGGACCCTTTGGGTTGGCAGGGGTTCGAATCCCTGAGGGGAGGGGGGGGCGTCGGCCCCCCCCCCGCCCCCCCTAAATCCGCCCCTGACTGTATGATATAAATTCGACCGATTAACCCTAAAATTTTTCTAAATGCACGTCTAAATTGCTTTTCGTCTGTTTTCCAAGTCCACCAAAAGGTCAGTTACTTCAAAGTCAAACAATCAACCCATTTTTGAAGCAATCAATCAACAGTGTTTGTTTATTGTCAATGCCAATAGGACTCGATATGAAAGTTTTTAAAAAGTTTGTTTGCATGACTAACGCTTAATAGCGGGTTAAGTTCACACTGCTAGGCATGAACTCTATTAATTGATTCAATCTGCTCTTGGACCATTCTGCTGAGCGCACCGCGCCTCTATTTTAAAGACATCAATTTTCTGCTCAAATTTTCTGCAGTGTTATGAAAAAGATTTTTTTAAAAAAATGTCTATATGAACGCCGTTGTGATTGCCGCGTTCAAAATTTATTTCCCGAAAAAGTCAATCAATTTCAATTCTAACAAAGACAACCGGATGCTGTGCCAGTAGCACAGAATAAACCGACCATGTTCAGGAAAAAGAAATTTTCATTCCTTCATGGTTTGTCCTTGAATTTTTGAAAATAAGTGCCGCCGATAATGTCTAAATCACAGTGGTGTGACGAAAAAAATGGGATTTAGACACGCATGAAAAAATTTGTTTTCAAAAACTGAGTTGCAAACATTACCAGAAAAAAAATGTTGAAATTTAAAAACTTGGAAGTGCCAAAAAAGTTTCCGAGTTCATTTTTCTTTTTTTTTTGTAAAACCAAGTTGTCCCAGCTTAAACTTTTTGTAATTAGATCGCTCCACTCGCCGCTCGAGCTTAGACTAAAACTCAAACCGGTTTTAACCAACACTGGGACTTTTTTGAAACTCTTTAAATGTTCGAATCACGACTGAAAGAGTTTCAGTAAGATAAATCACTGGACCAGCTCCGTTGATTGTTTGTGGCACCTAAATTTTCAAAACAAAAAAATAGAGGAAATCAAAAAAAACTATAAAACGCCCGGATACAAATTTTCTCCCCATTTTCAATGGTCGGAATATTAACATTTTTTTTCGTTTTGGTAGAAAAGGACTTGGTACAAATGGGACTTCACCTGATATTCGTATGTTGAAAAACTTGCTGATTTGATTTTTTCCGAATGTTTCTGCGATGTTGACTGCACTGCATGAGTTTCAAATTGGCGGAATTGCTTTAGACCGAATTGAGTGCATGATGTGTAGTTAATAGGATGGTAATCGCATGCAGTAGATTATAAAATGAAAAAACTCTCGAATAAGGGGAGAACGACAACTTGAATGTTCCGATAGCCCTCTAATGTGAGTGTCTGTTATTTGAAATAAATATTCCGCCAACTTCAAAATCGTTGAAAGAAAATTCAAGAATATTATGCAATTAGCTCATTGAGAACCAATTGAAGCGTTATGGTCAGTGAAAATAAAAACCCAGAAAGGAAGTACGAGGTCGTTATAAAGGCAAAAAGCACCAATTTACGTCAAATCAACATCCTGAGAATCGAAATCAATCTCCAATTCGAGTCAAATTTCGCATTCTGCTCATTTTTCCTGCCCGGAATAACACCTGTTGTCCAATTGGACGCTAAAGTAAATAGTCAAAAGGAAAGCAAGGATGTTACCTTTTGTGAGAAATAAAATTTTGGCGTATCTGATTAAGCAAACAGTTAAGACTGCTGAAAGACAATATTAAGAAAAGATTAGTATTGACAGATTTTGGTGTTTTCAAAACTATATAGCGTGAAATAAAAAAAAAGAAGAACAAAGAGGAAATAAATAACAAATTCCAGCTTATCAAAACAACATCATTGCTTCTGAGGAAAAACAGGTGCTAAAAAAATCAATCGCCCTAAATGAAAAATTGATTCAATAAGGCGGATTCAATTTGGATCATAAAATAGAATTCTTAAATTGTCTAATTGTCCGTCAAACAATGCAGCTGTAAAATGTCAAGAAAAAATTAAATTTGCGTGACCAATTGCATGAATTTAGAATAGAAATTTCTTAAACTAAAACTACAAATTTCTCAATGAAAAAATAAACTATGTGAGTGCTCTTATTTAAAGTATTTACTACTACCCGGATAGTAAATGGAAGCTAAGTTCTTTATTATTGTTTTTCGGTAGCGTTGAGGGGAAATTTTCAAAAAATAATTTATTGGCTTAAAGTTTAAAATTTTGACCCATTTGTTTGAAGGTTGTCAGTCAAAATGCTTTTAAGATGGTTGGAAATATTTGATATTTTGCCAAGCGAGCCTTAAAAGAAAAGGCAACGAATGATTGATCAAGGAAACCATTCTAATTTGAAAGAATAATTCCAGCCAAAGATTATTCAAGCAGTTGGCGTACCTGCTACAGAGCAAAATTTTGATAATTCTAAATGCAAAGGAATTTAAAAATCAAAAAGTATTTTTTTTTCTAAATCACAAAAAAGTCAAGTCTCAGAAAAAAGCCTCTGATACCTCTCTTCCAAAGCAGACATCAATAACAGTGGAACCACATTTCCAACAAGGTATTTATGAAAAAAAATCCCTATCAAAAACGATATTTTTTTGTTGGATATAAGCGCATAATAATAGAAAATGAATTACTTCTCAAAGGTCTCAAAATTACTTCTGTCTGAATAATTCAGAAGTTCAATCAAGTTTTCTCAAGAAGCTGAATGATAAATTTGATGAATATAATGAAAACTTGATACCTTCCTACCAAAATGAGTTTCAATATATCTGCTAAAATGATGCCAAACTCGATTAAGAGAGGATTCAACTGTAAAGTGAATTTCCAGTTTTAGTAGTCGTATGAAAATCGCATTATTTCGGCAGCCCGCAGATTTCCTCAAATTTCTTCCAATTTACGGGAATAAAGTCAACAAATTGGGGGCAAAAAACGTCACAAATTAAGGCGCGGGAAGCGCAGAGGAAAAGGTCAATAATGAAAACTGGGCTTGGCAGTCACTTTCTGTTAAAATCAATTCCCTGTGCCCTGATTCAAATAGTGTGTGAATCGTTTCGCTGCCATTATCAGATCACAAATTGTGCAACTTAGCATTGTTTGAAAAAATCACCCCACAAGCAGATTCGACTTCAAGCATAAAACTAA